TGTGTGTGTGTGTGTGTGTGTGTGTGTGTGTGTGTGTGTGTGTGTGTGTGTGTGTGTGTGTGTGTGTGTGTACCAGGACCACACTGGTTCAAAGACATATTAGTGACATTTGGTCCATTGTCACTTCTTCAAAAATAAAGAAATCAATAAAGATCACAAAAAACAAAAACAAAACAATAAAAGTAACAGTACCAGCTCTGACATCATGACTGACACAACACAAGGCAAGAAGAAGTGCGAGACAAATACAGATACATACTGTGTACACACACATGCTAGAAAGCAGAAGGGTGCTGGAAAATGACAGAATATAGTGTTGTGAGCCCTGTGAAAGAGAGGCAGTGTCAAAAGATGCGGAGGGGAGGGAAAAAAAAAGGAACAACTGAAGGGCAGCAGAGACAGAATGTATGGTTACACCAATGTCTGAGGCAGGTTGATTGAAAACCGTGTCATGAAACTGAACAGATGTGGGCAGGACAGGGTGAGAGAGACAGAAAGAGAGCGAGAGAGAGAGAAAGAGGGGCGTGACTCAACCTGGGTGTTAGAGGGCACTGGAGCATTTGAGAGCCAGAAATCCAGGTCCGAAACCTAAAAGAGGAAGGGAGGGAGAGGAGCGCGAGGAGGTGAGAGGGGTGAGGGCCAAACAGGTTCTGTGTCTTACTACTATTCATGAAAATGGATACAGAGAATACACTGTCCTGTTTCATGAATAAATCAAGTATTTGGCAAGAGACTGCACAGTCGGCTACGAGGAAACTGATACTTGATCGCTATAGCCGATTGAAAGACAGGCTGGGAAAAAGCAATGGAAGCGCCGAGTTAATGAACATGATAAAACGTGTCTGCTTGCATTTAACCATTTGACAGAATTTGTAGAGCACTCCTTAAGGCAGACCTTCCCAAAGTGTGGGGCCCGCCCCCTAGGAGGGGCGCAGAGCCATTGCAGGGGGGCGCGGTACGAAAAGGAAAAACAAAACAAAAAAAAACATTTTTCTTGTAAAACAAAGGGGGACCTAGCAAAAAAGTTTGGGAACCACTGCCTTAAGGTATCCTTTAAGCCATTTTAATTATAATTTTATAGATCTGGTAATTAAAACCAGTGTTTGGATGTTAGATACAAACTGCGGCGCCGCGTAGGAAACATCCTCGGTCCAACATGTTATAAAGGCGTACCTCAGCACTAGTTGAAGTGGGCTGTGCTTCCACCTCCTTCGTTTCTTCCGATTGGACCACGGGCTCTTCTGCTTGACCTCCGAGAAGATCCTCCTCCTTTTCTTCATGTTTGTGTTTTTTCTTCTTCTTCTCTTCTTTGCTCCTCTGTGAAAACAGGAGAATATATTCCAGTCGGTGTCAGTCAGGTTAAGAAATGCAAACACTGAGTCATCAAATTGTGACGGCGCAGCTGACAGCGCACTACTGTTCTCCCCTCGCTCTGAGTGCTCCGTGAATCTGATTTATGACCAGAAGGTGGGAAATGTTTCCAGCATCTTAACCTCACCTTCCTATCCCTCTCTTTATCTTTCTTTTTGTCCCTCTTTTCTTTGCTGCTCTTCTTCTTGGGTTCCTGTGGCGTGGCATTTTCTGCCTCTCCATCCTCAGCCGAGCTTTTTGGAGCCCCCGCTGCACGATGTGACCTGACCGGTAGCTTCTCGCTGTCTGCAAGCGGCCTGCACAAGCAAAACATACAGATACATACTTTAACTCTGCACAGATAAGGACTTGGGAGGCGATTTTGATCCTCCTGGGCTACATCATCTGAAAGATGCATTCCTTGAGTATTAATTGTTAAAGGTGAACAAGGCATGTAGGGTGCAGCAATCCACCATTCTCAAGCACATGTTCTGCACTGTGAAGCAGCCAGGTCTCATTCAAAGCACAAGACATTCCTCTAGCAGAGCTCCACACGGTCGATCGATCCTAATAACGTCCTCCATACTGAAGTGATAAGAGCTGGTAAACTTATGTCTTAAAAGCCGGAAATTAGGAGTTAGTAGCGTGCACTATAGCCCCCTGTTGGAAAATCTTTATATATAATATAAAATCTAATATAGATATTATATAAAACCATGCTGTGTCATCAGTCTCCAATTTAAGTAAATTTTCTTTTTTTGGTTTTATTCTTTCAGCTTTAAATTCCTAGAATTATGTAACCTTGCTTTTGTGGTGTCATTTTTCTTTTAGAATTACAATCCAAAAGAAAGACTTCCACGTGTGTTTTTGTAAGTAAACATTAATTTATAAGACCAAAACTGTTTACAGCTTGTCCTGCATGATCTCACCAACACATTATTCAAACGATCCACATTCTATCCTTGGCTTAAGGCCACATCTTTTTCCACTGAGGGCAGGCAAAGCGTATCCACTTAAAAACAGCTGGAGACAGTCTGGGGGCATGCCAAGTCTACTAAACTCAGCTGAGCAGATCTAAGAGAAAAGAATTACACTATTGCGTCGAACCGCTGGGATAGGTTTCTAAAAGCATGTTGATGCCGATTGCCCAGTACAAGAAAAAGAAGAGCCAACATGCTTTTAGGAAACTATTCTGGGAATTTAAAGGGTGAAAGATTAAGTCCTGAGAACATCAGCAGCCAGTTCTTATTTTGTTTCTTTCTAGGAAATCATTTTGTTTCCTTTTCTTTAAGGACAGATAAATCAGAACTGCTTGTTCAGAAATAGAGATGCTGATATTTTCAAGAACATTAAAAAAAATAAAAAAGAAGAAGAAGCAGTTTTAAGAGAGGTGGGATACTACAATATCGTTATGCATCACTAGGTCAAATGCTACAACTAAAGAACAGATCGAAGGGAAGAAGAGCAAAAAGAGAAAGTGGACATTACAAGCTTCAGATAGGTAAGGAACAGACAGCTATATTAGTTGAAAAGAGCAGGACAGCTACTTGGAAAGCAAGACAGAGAGAAAGACAAAGGTGACCTGTGCACAGTCAGAGGTCAGGTCCTATGGCTGGGGTGCTACTCACCTGCGCGCAGTTGTTTCCAATAAGCTGCCCACACAAAGAGGCAGTAATGGATGTGTGTAAGCACAGAAAAGAGGAAGCAGAAAGCAGAACGCCATGAGGAGGAGTGCGAGGAGGGAGAGGGCCGGTCACACTGGCTTTAATGCTGTGACTGGAAAGCTTCAGGAATAAATGCTAAAACTACACTTTCATGAAATGTTTGGAGAGCAACAGTTTTTATCTCTCTGCCTCAGTACACCAAAACAACAGGTTTGAAACGAAAGGATTAAAATGCAACTTTTAGGTTAAATTTGGAGGATTTAAGAAAAATATTAGCATTGACCACAGTGGTCATTTTTATACAAAGTCCTCCATTTTCATCAACTCAAATATAATTGGACAACTTGACATAATTGCAGGGAATCAAAGTTCATGGCTTATTATTTTTTAAAGGCGTTTTTGGCTAATCGTGTGTCTACATTGTGGAGATTAGTGCACCACTGCTGACTTGCATCGTGGCCTGGGCCTTTTCATGTTCACAGGTGCTTCATTTTTTTCTGAATGTTCCAAAATGCTGATTTGGCCACTTCTTATGTTCCCACATAAGACACTCTGGTGACAGTGGCAGAGAAAAGGACATTAAAAAAACTGCTGGACATTATGGACAATGCCAGGCATCCTCTGCACACGGCCATTAACAACCAGAAGAGTCTGTTCAGTGACAGGTTGCTTCTCCCAAAGACAAGAACTAACAGACTTAAAAACTCCTTTGTCCCACACGCCATCAAACTGTTTAACTCCTCTCTGGAGGGGAGAGGGAGGGGAAACAGGAGGACAAAGGAGGGGGGAACAACTAAGCTGTAGTGTGTGCAATACCTTTTGTGCAATACTTTTGTAAATAGTCAACGGTGCAATAGACTCAATACTTGAAATGTGCAATTCACTTGTATTTTTATTTTTATTCCTATTTATTCTATTTATCCCCTTCGTATATTTTATTTATATTGTCTCTGTATTTATATATATGTGTGTGTGTGTGTATAACTCTGTAACTTCTGTCGGTGCTGTGCTTTTTTGGAAATTGAATTTCCCAGAGGAACCCACCCGAGGGATTAATAAAGTTCTATCTAATCTAATCTAATCTAATCACACTCTCTCTAGTAAATTTGTTTTATTTGTGCACGCTAGGTTTGGCTCAATTCATTTGAAATAAGATCCCCTTTGAGAACGGCTTTTGCATTTGAATTTGAATGAACTGCTTCCAAATGCAAACGCTACACTTGGAATCGACTGCAAACCTTTTTCATGCTTAATTCAAAAAACAGCCTAAATCGGTCCACAAAACAGCCCCAATGACACAGGACTGTAAATAAGCTACATCTGGTTGTTGATACAATATCTTTGTTCAACCACTTGAATTTAACCTAAAGTCTGCTTTTCAGTTTGACTTTGATAGATTCCTTTCAAACAGCTCTCTGTTGAACTCACTATTCAGTTATTTTCTGACATAACTGGATTTCAAACAGGAAATCCTCCAGCTTTAAAACAAGGTACACAACACAAACAACAACTCTGGGTGGAAAATCTTAAATTTCAATGCCTGGCAGACTAGTTTAGATATAAAAATGATGACTTCAGCATCTTCAAAATCAGCAGTTAAAGTGATGAAGGTCGAACACATGTAAAATAAAACTCACTTGTCCAGGTCGATGTCCAGGGCTTTGTGAGGGTCATTGGGGTCTTTGTCATCGTCATCGCTGGGTAAGGCATTCTGTAGGACAAAACACAAGAGATTAGCTGAGCTACTGACTTCCAGCGATCTTTGTGATGATACAGTAAAAATATATTTATAAAAAACTGAGGGAAAATGATTTTCCTTGAACATGTCAGTGTAAAATATTTAACATTAACTAAATTAAATAATAAAGTAATAAAACTTTCAACACTACATAGAAAGAAGGACCAGGCGGAAAAAGAAGGTTTCAACAACAACTTACAGAATGTTTTAAACTTAGTATTTATAAAAAGTCTTCTTCCATTGATGTCACCACGTGCCTACCTCTGGCATCTCCTCTGTAACAATGTCGACCACATGTGCAGGTGTGATGTCCTCCTCGCTCTCTGGGCCTGAGTCGTGTTTCTTCCCACGCCCACTGCGTTTTTCTTTCCTCTTCTTCTTCTCCTTCTTCTTTTTCTCTGCTCTCTCTTTCTGCCGACGCTCCTCCTCTAGTTTAACGTATTGGTCAGACATAGGCAGACCTGTGGGGTGGGAGGGAGTTGTAGCTAAGGGTAACGTTGATAATTTTCAGTATACGAATAGAAAAATTGTGACACAACAGTATGTTTGCAAGTAAGGCTGCACTTAGATTCAGGTGAAGTTATGATAGTTATATTGGGGTTCCTTTTTTTAGTTTTTATAGTAATATAAGGATTGCGTGTCCCACCTGGGACTTTGAGAGGCACGCTGAGATCAATCTGCACGACTGGGATGTGTTCCACTCCTGGAGCTTCCTGGTACACCTACACATAAAAGTATTCATCTCAAAAAGGGTTTTGCCATACATGAGCGTAACTACTTTTACTAAATACCCTGTGCAGTGAAAATGACTACCAACACAAAGTAATTACTGAAGACGGTGAGCATACCTTCTGAGAAGACGGAGAGGCCTTGATGTAGAATGGGTTGTTGGCTTGCTCCTGCTTTCTGGCTTCTCTCCTCTTGTAGTGGAAACAAGAAATATAATATGAATTCATGAACAGCCTACGTCACTTATAGCATGAGCTGGGATCCAAGGGGGAAGCCAGATTTACTAACTGTGAGTCTGAGGAGGTTAATATTGATTCTGAGTCAATGGCAACTTTAATAAACAGTCACAGACCATTTTATCACACATGTTACCGTTCATTTAAAAAAAAAAATCAATGATGAAAAAACCTGAAGGCTTTGGCATATAACAACATTTAAAGTAATGTACCGAAACAATAAATAATTCATATCCCAGACTAGAAACAGTGCTGGCAGCATCGTCGGTCTGTCACTTTCTAAAACTAAGATCAAACCTTACAATTCTGCTTCAAAGTCTTGATGCGCGTCTATGACTGCTGCAGATCAGAAGAAGTGCACACGGTGGGATTTCCTACTGTTGGAATTAGTGCTTACAGGACCGGATTCGTCCAATCTGCAGACAGTTTCCTCCCCAACCTCAAACCTCTGTCTTAGGTGGCAGAAGAGCCACAGAGCAACACTCGGAACAAAATTAATTCAGATACGAAAAGTTCTTTCAGAGGGGAAGATGGAAAACCAAATGTCAATTTCCCCTGATAAAGAAAGCACAAGTCCAACTGGTTTTAAGGCTTTTTTAAGGGAAAACCATCTGCTGAGGTGGCATTAACATGTAGTGACTGCAGGGCCAACATCTCTGTTCCTCTTTTCCTCCATGATCACTTTAAACCATACTCTACTCTTTCTATTAGTCAGCACTTTGTAAAAGAAAACGGTATGAAAATGATGAGACTTTTACTAATCCTGTCCGTTAAAACAACAACAAAAAAGTCAGAGTTGTGTACTGTTTTTGTTCTATGTTCCATCAGTTAAAATTGAGAAGTTGCTTTGAAACTATTTCTTACTCATGGTGGCAATTTTTTCAGCTGACATTATAAAAATTTCAGTAACAACACAAAAAGGTCAAACACCTCAAATTTTACAAGCTAAAACAAAAAACTAATTTGGACATGGACTCCTGGATCATAACTGCTCTTTGCAGTTTATCAATGATACAAAGACCAACCTACGCACCCTTGCCAGCTCTTTCTCGTCCACCTCTGTGTGACGGGGGCGTGAGTGTTTGGGCTCCTCCTTGGTAAAAATAGCCTTGGGTTGCTCATCCTCAGACTCGCTTTCAGAAGGAGGCTCATTGATCCAAGCATCCAGGTCCAGCCTACACACACAAACATGGTTGTTGTATTCCATTATGAAAAACTCAAAAGCAGACACATGCAGCATAAATGCCGAAACGTTTTAGTTACTCTTGCTGCTGCGCCTCAAAGGTGAGAAACAAAAACACTGCATTTTAAGCAAAAAGATTATAAACTGTAAAAATATGTGATATTGCAGTTTTGTTTTGTTTATCTCATGTGCTGAGCCAACGTACCCTTCGGGAACAGGCACTTTCTTCTGTGCCTTTGGAGCTACAGGATTGAGTTCTCCAGCAAACAACGCGCTGACTTCTTCTGCTACTTCTACATCCTTCTGCTGCAGTTTCTGGATGTACTTAACTAGTTGCAGGATGCAGGACGCCTGAGGAAAAAGGAGAGGAACTGTAGATTGCAGGTATTTATCCGATTTGTATGCAGTAGGTAACCTTGTAATCTGTGAAGCATTAAAGGTCAGGCTCTGTAAGAACTCTGGCTCTTTCAGTCTTCATTTATCTTACCCTCTCCTGCACCTCGAGGTTAGCGCTCTGGACAAACAGTGGTAGCCTGTCTATCATCATCTGGCTGGTTTCCTGTGCAGCTGTGCTGTCTGTGTTCCCCTCTTGGTTCTTCAGGATGGTGGCAAACAGCTTGGCTGCATTCTGCACATATACAGCCTGGATGTGACCGGGTAGGGTCGCGACCTTAGGACGCAGCATGGCCTCCAAAGTCTGCACGGGATTCTCCAGGTGTCTAAAACGAGGGGAAGATTTCTGTTATTTCAGGTTTGGTACTCTCAACCCTCAGGAAGGTTCCCAAACAGATACAGCAGTACAGTGTTTGGGTTACACACATTTGTGACTGTGCAAAATAAATACACACAACACACTACATATTATATGACTGCATTAACTCTGTCCTGACTCATCTGCTCTTACAGAGTAAAACAGTATTTGCTCTGCCCTGAGGAGCTGCAGAAACTAATGTGAAGACACACATGGTCGGATACGTCAGTCTCTTCTGTTTGCCAAACCTTTAGCGTCAGGCAGAGAGTTTAAATATACCAACTATACTGACTACTTCTAATGACTTACTCTGAGAATTCCCCACAGATCCAGGCTGCAGCATACAACACTTCACAGATGCCGTTTCTCTGCATGTTGCCTGTCAGCAGGTGGGCGTTGTCCAGCAGGGTGGCCATCTGGGCAACAGCAAAGACCCGGATGGCTTTGACTCGTATGGCCACATCCAGCATCTGAGAGGCAATGAGGTGGCCGTGCCGTGTGCCCTCTAGTCGGGTCAGCTCTACTAGGATACTAATGTACCTGTTGGGCAGACATGGAGAGGGCGTGTATATAACTACAACAAACAGCAAATGTAAAGCAAACTGACACACCTCAGAGTGAAGCACAGGACAGTGCTGCTGGTAAACTAACCATTCAAAGTTGGTGATATACTGGTAGTTGCTCTGACTGCAGATGTCAATGATTTTTGTGAGCAGTTCATCTCTGTAGGTGGTTCCTTCGGCTTTGTCTACATGTATCATCAGCTTCTTTACGATCTCCATCAAGTTCTTCTTGGACACCTGCAAAGAGCAGAACCCACAAGTGACCACAGAGAATTATTACTTTACTAGATCAAACAGCACCATTTGCAGAGTTCTACAGTTGGCAGTAACAGTTTACGGTATCTATTGTACTTGACACTTTAGTGTGTGAGTGCTAGCAAAGCCGTTTTATTATACCAAGTTACAACAAAGTAGTTGCAGCGAAAGTTCTGTTTTTTGTATTGCATTGCACCGTATTCTTTAGAATAGACTGAAACAAGCATAATCTGGATCTAAAACTATTCAACATTAGTTTTCGTGAACACTGAATAAAACAAAAGTCTGGTCCCATACCATGCCATAGAGCAAGTCCAGAGCTCTCAGACGGATGGACTCATCCTTGTCATCCAGACACTGGAGAATGAGGTCTTTATGAGACTGCACTGACTTGGGGTGGGTCTTCAGGATCTTTGACATCGCCAGCAGGCCCAAATACTTCACTACAGAAATACGCAAAAACACGCTACCTTAGTGTAGTTAAAAAAGGACACACAACAACCCTTGAAATCTCCACACGTTACCAAGTATATTTTGTTCACCTTGCTATATGCCATCACTCTTAAACCTGATTAGCTTTACATTACTGTGACTGCAGTAATAATCATATGTATGTAATAATTATAATACACTATGAACTCTTTCTATGCTCATCTTCACTTCGCTAATCTATAAAAAATATAAATCACACAGCAAAAACAAAAATAAATTAAAACAGGAAATAAACACAAAACACACAAAAAGATGGAAAGGACATACAAACACACACACGGGACAACACACACTGGGACAGTCTTGTTTTGCTTTATCCTTTCTCATACCCATGGCAGCTCATTCCCCCCACTCTCAGGTTCTGTGATCAATAAAAGGCTGTTATACTGACCTTGGATCAGTGAAGCTGATCACTGCAGTGCTTAGATTAGAGAAGTGACCACTGATGTGGACTTGTGGAAGTTCAGTGATGTGCTGAACAGGAAAAGGCTACACAGATTTTTCAAACATATTTCTTTTAACCTATGGTTTTAATTGTGACCGTTTTGGTTGCTAGCATGTTGCCATGGTCGCCCTTATTTTGCATGGAAGAGGCAGAAGAAGATGGTAAAGCACAACTTTTACTTTGAAGGTGAAAATTCTCCATTTTCAGCTGGCATTGCATTTTTGAAGACTCATTTAAGCTCAGCAAGTATTTATCAATAACATTCATAAATAATATTAATAACTATTATCATTATTATTATTATTATCATCATTATTATTATTATTATTATTATTACTACTACTATTATTAATGCTGCCAACCCTGACTGGTTGGCAATAATAACCCAATAATGATGCATGCCTAAATGTGACTGAACCCTTAGTTACCTGCACTCCATCTAATGGCATCATCACCAAAAAGTATGTGACCTGACTTTTACTCAGTCCTAATTCAACAAGTGTTCTACATGAATTTACTCAGGGCTTTTAAGTGGGCCCTGAGATTAAATACTTTACCAGTTAAGCATCGTCACAAGGGAATCGCTACATATTTACGGCTTTACTCACTGATGTTTTGGAAAGTTTTATACCCAAGTATAACTGTGAAACGAAACAGGGGCACAGCAGTGATCAATGAAAGGATAAAACATTGAACCACAGGTTCACAGTCTACTCTATTAAGGCCATGTCCACACTAATAAGTTTTCCTTTTAAAAAGCATGACTTTATGCCTTTGAGTACTCACTATTACAGTGATTTAGGACTGATATGGGAAACATTTTAGAGTGGATGTAGCCTATGACCAGGAGTCTACAATTTACTTTACACACGCACAGTTATCTACGTTTTAAGATCCAGACAACTCGAATACCCGAATGTAGAAATCTAAGCTCCAAATGGCTGTGTGCAAAGAGAATGTAATAACAACTTATAGTATAACAAATTTAAGCCCCTCTAGAGTGAAGCAAAGAAAATATTTTTTAAAAATTAAAATTGGGTAATTTTTTGTGTCTATCCTGTTGGAAACCGGGTGGATGTGACTTAAGTGCAATGGTATTCCAAGCAGGACGCCCAATTGAGAGTGAAAAGGTAGTAATGTTCGAGTTATCCAGAGTCAGGAGGTCTATGTTATTGTCGTCTAAAAGGGTGGACTGTTCCATAGTCAAAAACACGCAGACAATGAGAAAATGACACACTGCAGGCATTGACAGAGGGCTCACAGTTCTGGTCCGAGTCTTCTATCAGGATTCGCAGTTTCTGCACACAGAGCTGTGGGAGAGACAAAAAACAGAGAGGGAGAGGGACAGATCTGTTATCACCACGGAAAACCTTTCCACACCAGGAGCTTTGTGAGACTTTCTGGCCTGTCTGATGGCTGCTGTGTTTCTACTTAAGCTATGTTGGATCAGACGGCATGCACTGTGATTCAACTGGAGTGGAAAGGGTTAAAAATCTGCAACTAAACACGTGAATATGTTGATGAAAGAGAGGAGCTGAGGAGATTACCTGGATACTAGCGCTGTGGTTAGGCATCCCCGAGGACAAAGAAATCAACACTGTAATGTAGCACAAGGAAACAATTACATCTGAATGAGAACGATTTTTTATGAGCAAGTTTAAAAAAACCCAAAACAAATAAAGATCAGAACACGTGAGGAAAAAGACCTCTGCTAAATCTCAAGGATGTTTAAGCGCCAGTATACAAGTTAAAATTTAACTTGTACAAATTCCACTTATTCATTCAAGCAAAGCTAAGAAAATGTGGTTTTAGCACGTAGGAGGACTGAAAAGAGCAAATACAGATAAGACACTACACTGTATTTTTTGAAGTTCAATGTATAAGCTTATTTCTCAACACAGATGCAAAAATATACTGAAACGATGAAATAAACATGGGGCTGGGGCCACTAAGCTAAGTGAGATTTGATGTGACCCACAGAACAGCTGTACTGACCTGCAATCACAGTGTTGACACATTCATACAGCAGAGACATGGCAGAGGTACTGTGAGAGAAAAACATCAGGACGGTGAGAAAGTTTAGAATTATTATTGAGCTGTTTATCAGATTAGACTGTTGTACCGTCTACGGGAAATGCAATAAGAGAATTTCCTCTCACCTGTGGATTAGATTTGTTAGAGGTTCAATCAATTTCTTCCCCAACCGTGGCTCCAACGGTGTGAGTGCACCAAACTACAAGATACACAGAATTTCTGGATTTTGTTTGTCCACAATCACCTTTCAGAAGCTGGTACACTAAATATATAAAAGTATATATTTAAATCTATTCAGTTACTAACTACTAAAATGTAAATGTAAAGTCTTACCAGCTTTATGATCTTAATGAGAACCCAGTTGTTAGTAGAGGAAGTCATGAGTTTGAAGAAAAGCGGGGCCAATGACAGGTAGTTCTTGGGATTTCTCCTGGCCAGCTCACATATGACATTTACTGCTGCTGACTGGACGCCTAAAAGGAGAGAATATAACATCAGGAAACAAGTATTGAAACTACAAAAGCTTAATTTCTTTAAAAGAACATTGAAAAACTATGTAGTGTGTTATTAAAGAAAGAAATGTAATGCAAAGAGTCCAATGACTGCAGTCCAACATACAAAACAAAGCATGTAATAATAAAAGAATGGAATTTGTACTGTCGTCATAACTGGATAAAAAAGTGAGATATTAAATAGAGTAGAGTAGTAAGTATGAAACCATCTAAAACCAGAAGAGAGTCAGCAGTATTGTCTTGCAGTCTTGGAAGTCCTGGCTCAGCACCATACCCAAGCCTTCTTTAATCACATATTCGTTGCTGCTGAATCATTTATGGGGTTCAGTTAGGGGATCTGATGTCTTATATTGTGGACAGTCTTAATTTGTAATGCTTTCTGGAGTATACTTTATTGTAAAAGTTCTGGTGTTGCTAACCATTAGCTGCTTCTCCACTGAGTCTTTCGACCCCTGCAAGTCCAACTGTAGTGTCTTGGACTGCAGCTGGTGACTGTATCGCTTGCTTTGCTCTGCAGCCTTAGACAGCTTAGTGGAGTGACTCACAAAACCACTTCTTCATCTGGTGCAAGCTCTACTTGCAGCTGCTGTCCAGTTTGCAGAAGATAACAATACAAGGACTAACATTCCCAGCTGGAGTCTGTTGGAAGGATGTGAGACTCACAGAAGCGGTAGCTGAACGACGCGGTGAAGTCCACCGGAATAGCTATTGCTGGTACGGAAACATAAGACGAGCAGGCCAACTTTGGCAAATTTACCAAAAAGCAGCAACCTGATAATCTAGAACTCAAAACCAACACAGAAGGGCTAAAAAAGCCAAGGCTCCATCTGCTGTGGTGTACCCTTGTGAATTTAGCTAAAATGATGCTTCAGCAGTGATAACACCTTGGTCGTCCACTAGCAGTCCATGGACAGCCTGTCTGCTTGGAGACAGCGTCTGCTGTGGATGGGGGCACTGCACAACATGTTACAACCAGTATGTGAGCGACTCTTGCTTATTCTGTCAGCCAGCCGCTGAGCAAAGTTATGACATACTAAATGATGAAGTGAAACCAAGTGTTACAAACAACGAGAAGTATCCACTGTAGCCACAATCTGTACTTTTCATGCTGTATCTTTGGATCTTTAAAAAAAATTTCCAAGCTCTTTCAATTCCCAGTGAACTCTGCCATCGATCCCTTCCCTGTTCTGGCCCATTTGTCAACCAATCAGCATTTGACCAACACGGAGCGTCATCCATGTCAAGCACAGTCAAGTTGGCCTGAAAACCCCTTTTTGTACGCCGTCCGTAGGGAAATAATATGCCAGTATTTGACACGACTGCGTTAAATTAATTACACATAAACCTGAAAGAAGCTTTATTGTCTTGTTAAAGTATCCAAAAAAATGTGCTTCAGTGGTGGAGAGTCAAATTCTAGTGTTTTCTTCAGCAGCCACCAAACAGCTAATCTTGGGTTAAAATGTGACATCAAGGTGGCTTAATCCACCATTTATATACACAATCAACAGTTACTAACAACTACACTTAAAAAATACTTAAAAACAGCACCTTAAAAATAATAACACTGTCCAAATTTTGCTGTACCTTCTGTAATTTTTTCCAAATCAACTTAGGAAAAACTTGATTGGCTCACGATGTGATTAGTAAAAACAAGACAGTCATCGCCCAAAGCTGAGAGTATGATTTTAACCAAAAAAATATCATGTGGCGCTCGGTTCATGTACACAGAGGCCCCAAAAGTTCCAGCTGTGTCTATTAAAGCTCAGTGAAAACAAAAGGTTTGTGGACATGGGGCACAAATCAAATGTACTAGAAAAACCAGCAAATGATCTCTCTTTTTCATGAGCGGAAATGAGAAACAAACGTTCCCAGCAGACTGGATAAATACTGTGTTTTCTGATACCTGGGTCTGGGTCCTCGAGTTTTTCCTTGAGCCTGGGAAAAGCTGGGCGCAGGGACTCGGGATACTTGAGAAACACCTTATACATGATCAACACAGCTTTTTTTCTGATGTAAGGTTTAGTGTGGGACATCTGCAGTAGAAGACAGTAAAGACACATTTTTAAAGATGTAAAAAAAAACAAAAAAAAAACAACAACAACCCTGGAATGACAGCTTATTTGACTGAAGTAAATGGTAACGAGGAAAAAAAGAAAAAAAAGAGCAGAAGTCGTGTGGGTACACCTCAGGACTTACTCACCAATGTCATGATGTCATTAGCTAGGTCCCGAGCTAAGTCAGGGGTCACAAAACAAGACAGGCCAGTGAGGGCAACACCTGTGTCATACTGGTTGGGGCTGCTGAGATCCTGGGAGAAATAGATTAAAAAAATAGGAAGAAAAACAAAAAAGAAAGAAAACATTAGCTGAGGGAAAACTAACAGTAAGGAGATATTTACAGAGTTCACAAAACATGTGCATCGCTGACCTTTCGAATTTGATTGGTTGTCAGCATGATGACGTCTGTGTTCTCATGAAAGCACTGTGAGGCTGCCAGGTAGCCAATCCTCTGTAGGAAAGCAAGCAAGCATAACGAACATACTGCTATTATATTACATTACTACAAACATTTGTCAGCCTGTTGCAGCACCACAGAGATCCACTTATACAGCTCACTCAGCTGTGACTACATCACTTTGTAAATTCTGGGTGTGCATCTTCCTTTCCATTTGCATTACTCTGTCCTGCACTTCCACGACCAATCCTGACATCCCAGACTTACCTTGTACGTGAACTTTGAGGAACTCATGACTTCAACGATGTTGAAAGCAGCCCAGCTGACGTCATAGCCCAGCATTTGAAGCTGCAACATAGAGGAGACAGACATAGATTGTGACTAAAAGGAAGAGGGGGAGCTCTAAGCTGCTCCGGTGAGGTACAGAGAGAATAATTGATTTGGGCTGAAAGCTCTCAAAGTGAATACTGATGCCGACCACAACAAGACATCTAAATCTAAATGTGTACCTTGACTATAAATAGACAGAGCAATTTCATTTCAACGGGAATTGGACAATGTTCTCAGTAAGTGCCACTTGCTCGACGTTTGGCGGTGAAGTGACTTATCTTAACAAAAACAAGAAACACACACTCAGCCTTGAATGTGTTTTTGTAAAAATGCACTACTTTACTTTGCGAAATAGTAGCACTTCCATTTGATCTGATGAAAGTGTAAGAGGGAATAAGGCTTTATTTGACTCAGCTTGTTTCTGTTTGGGTAGAAAAGATACTAACCACAGATTTTTGTGTGGTTTTCATCTACAGTGTCACAGCAAGTCGCAATTTTCCATTGTGTGCATGTCAACAAAATATGTCACAATATGCTAGTGGAACTGATTTAGGACAGATGAAGGAGTCATTTGTGAAATAAAATATATGCCAAGTATTCTTGCACTACAACTAAGTAGTTGTTATAAACAGAGTCTCGTCTTTTTATTGTGTTTTTTAGTTTTTTCTTTGTTAATTTTAGGTGTGCTGTAAAGAAAAGTACAACAGCATAACTTGCTACTAAGCTACAGCACAACGAAGCCACATGGTGGGCTTATGTTGACAGGTGTATACAATAGCTCATATATATGTGTGTGTGTGTGTGTGTGTGTGTGTGTGTGTGTGTGTGTGTGTGTGTGTGTGTGTGTGTGTGTGTGTGTAGATTTGACAGACAAAGTCGGTGAATCCGTGGAGGGTGAGAGGGCTTACGTAGGTGAGCTTGCACACAGCATTGGCTTTGACAGCGATGTTGTCCTGCTTGAGCTCCTGTTTGATCTCATCGATGCATGTGGAGATGTACTTGGCCTGGGGGCAGACAAAGGAGAGGGCAAACAACAGACACCAGATCAGATTAGGTGGACTGATATCCGGAGAGGGAGGCTGCGAGCAGGCTGGAAAATTCTGATCTTTCTGCTGTCGCTTTCCAAGACACTAACCAAGAACTGAATGAGTGTTTTGCCCAAGTTTAACTGCTTCTTTCTTTCTACCACAAACCTACAAGATTGTCACATGCGGCTTGATGTATGTAGGTATTTACAGGGCCAGATATAAATATATTTTGATAAACAGTTCTGAAAATACAGTCACCTCGAGCACAAAGCTCACACTCAGACTTGTGATGAATAGAGAGTTGCCATTAATTTGGGACATCACACAGCAAATTAAACCCTTACACTGGAGCTGTTTGCCGTGTGGATTTATCCGTTTTCAAATCTGCTAGATGTGTTTTCGGTCCACCACCCATACTAATGAACAATGAGGTGTGCTCAGCTCTCTCTTCCACGAAAACATTATCTCAGTTATAATGACCAACAATTAAAAGAAATTAAATTTAAAAAAAAAAATCCTACTCAGCGTAAAAACATTAAGAAATAATAACAGCCACTTTTATATATATCATTATTACTACAATTACACAGTTAAAGAGATCTTCAATTGTATTTATTATGTTGTAGGATGCTAGCATCAGTAGCACCATCATCTATATATCTGTTTATCAAAGCATCCATCCATCTATCCACTTATCTTTAAATAAATTAGTTTTTTCCCAGAAAATCATTTCTGGGAAAATGAATAACAATGAAATCTCAACTCTCACAATGACAGCTAAATCACATCAGTTCTCCTAAAATACTGGGAGCACATTTCATTCAACGGTGCAGAACAAACTGAGGTCAATTTTTTTTAACCATTATAGAAAGGACCAACCTTGCTAAACAAACACATACAGCTCTGTAGTGTGTGAGAGTGTGCTGGTCATGTGTGTGCAGTCATGAGACAGCACAGTGACAGGAGGTGGTGTTAGAGGGGGGGGGACACTACGCTCTGCTACTCCCGCTCCTGGAGAAATTGTAGCGATCAAGAGTGAAGGCCTGAACACACCATCAGCAAACAGACATACGCATATACAGAGTGCTTCTCCATCACAATCTTCTTCAGTTATCCATCCAGAACCAATTTAAATAACTGAAATAGTTGACATAAGGCCAACACAGACAACCTTCCTGCCAGTAACACATACTGGGGTGGAGATATATTTGAAGGCGTGCACGCTCCAAGAAACGAATGACTGGGCTTAGATGAAACTAAATGGAGCTATATATATATATTTTTTTTTAAATCTGATCACTATCACAAAGACAAGTAAAATTCATACTTCCAGTCCTCACACCTTAATTCAATACAGATGCTGTTCCAAAGACGTGGGAGAGACAGTGAATGAATGAACTATGCAGGAACTTTGCACAAACTCTGCACACATGTGTAAAACAAACAGAGAAACTGTGGGATATTCGGCACACACTTCAGAGTACACACAGAGGCGTATTAATATTTTAGCAGACTGCCCACTGTTGACTGGGTAACCACCACCTTATCTAGGCTGCCTGGGTTGGGTTTCCACTGGTGAACAGCTCAGACTATACAGCGAAGCAAGAGATCAAACGCTAACGTCCTGGAACGACAAAACTGACCCACATGCTTGTTTTTCCATTTCCAAAAACTCAAATATAGACACAGACAGCATTTGTGTCTTAATACAAGTAATATAATGTAAAAGTAAAGCATCTATAAAGCCGGTTTAGTGCTTCTAGCTGAACAATACTGAGAAGAAATCAAATCTCAAAGTAGTCTTGAGGTCAGACGTGCCACCTTGACATTTGGCATCTTCCCTACAGCAACGATGTAGGTGCGCGCACACAGCAGTACAGCTTGAAGAAATCAGGGATCGTACTTCACAGTAAAAGCTACTTTCAACTGCTCCATTGTTCAAAAGGGTTTGCTGTGCATGTTTGATTTGGCAGATTTTAGGTGAATAGTTCACCTAATAACAGAGCCAAAGTCAATGTAGTTTTTAAGGAAGTTAAACAAAACCCCCAAACATATATAGTGTGTAACAAACATATATGATATGGTATATATGGTATGGTATGATATACTGTATTCTGGCCAGAATGTATATGGTATGTTAGAGTTATAGATAAAATAGGGATATGATGTGCTTATTGTTTGTTTATGAATTTTACAAACTAGTTAACAAGAAAAGATCTGGCTGCTGGACCCAGGATGGCAGCCTTCCCATGCACTGGTGGAAACTTGGACACAGGCTGACATTCATAAATATGCTGCAGACAGTCCTGAGAGTTTTGTAAACAACAGAATTGGAGCATTTTGCTCGACAAACTGTGTGATGACTATTTCCGAATTACTCCAAGCATCTTGTCTGAGACGGGCCAATATCAGTATCTGGCTCTACTTCATACCCACCCTGCCTTACTACCTGACATAGCATTTCACAGCATCAATATGTTTAGATGCAGCCAACGCAGAGCTTATAGGAGAGATAGGATGATGTGACAGATGTTAACAGATGGCTAACCCCCACACACACCTTCTGACTGCCCCTTCAAAGCAAGATGCTTTGATGAGCCTGTCATCACCCACAGCTCTGTGGCAGGGATGAGGAGCCGTTTCACGGGAGATGTTGGATGACTCATTTCGAGATTATATAAAGGCTCAGATTTAATCTGCGAATCCAGAATAGTTACAACTAGAATTTTTAAGCTAACCCTCGAAACATTAGGCCTCTCTTCACCAACTCATCACAGCATTCATTCAGAGGCCAAGTGGCTGCAAAGTCAACTCAAATAAGTGACTGCATATACTTCTCACCAAACGGGCATGACAGTAAAAAGCCTTTAGCTCACAATATAAATGACAAGAGCCTAAATATCTGCATATCTGGTGTGCTCTCGGTGAGTAATCTACTGGTAAACTTTAATGATCTAGCGAGATGCTTCCTCTAACTGCCTGTTAGCTAGACTAGCTAGCTGTCAGTAACGTTGGCAGCATTTTTCTATTAAAACCCGAGAAGTTGTGTTTCTACCGACTCAGTAACAGGTCGCAACCAATAACATGTTAGTAAGCAAAGGACAGTTTACCACCCAGCCAGCAAGGCAGCGGCGTTAGCCGCTGACGATAACGCTAGCTTTCCAGCCTACCTAACGTTAACTTACCCAGCGCTAGCCCGCTGGTCAGCGATAACGGTAACGGCACAGTGTGTGTGCTGGACTTATAAAAACGTTAATGAACGTAAAGCTTAAAACACCCCGGTGTCACTGTTTGCTCGTTTTACCTCATCTTCCTTGTGATTCCTGATGCCACGTACTAAATCCTGGAGATTTTTATCGAACATCCGATCGATGCTCCCTTTGACAATCTTCAAAGCCATGACTGTCTGCGACTTTGTACCGCTTCTGTCCTGCGGGGCCGAGCGCCTTGCAGAGATCTAGTGGGTGCCGACCGACGCGCTACACCGTGTCTCATCCACCCGGGTACCGTGATGTGCTGCGGTGTCCGCTGCTGTTTACCGAGCCCGGGCAGATGAAGTTGAGGCCAGACGGGGCCGTCCAGTGCTGTGCAGAGACGCTGGCAGTGGATCGGTGTAGGAAATGGCTGACAAAATGGCGTCTAAAGTCAGCTGACTTGGAGCATTATGCGAGATTCTCATGTGGGAATCAGTTGAGTTAAAGGGCTCGTCCTCCCCACCCACCCCGTCCTCCCCACTTAGCGTCTGTTGTGAGCCAGAAGGTTTATTCTCTTAATCCTAAAAAAGTTAAACAACTCCACTGATATTTTAACCACTTATCAGAACACAATCAGTGTAGCATGTGAGAATAATGACTGCATGGAAGAGCATCGACTGTCAATGTGGCAGGTCAAAACACCAAAAAATGTAGTAGAACCAAAACCATGCTGATATTTTTATTCAAGTCTAGTGATAGAAATACTTTACCAATTTACATAGCACTAAAAACACCGGCTGTATGCACATGACAGAAAAAAACATGTCCAAAAAAAAAAAGGCTGCAGCTACATGAGATCTCATTAGCTTTTAAGGGCAGTTTTTGTTTTTAATGTGTGCGTTATTCCATTTATTAAGCAGACACTAGGGGAGAGGAGAGTACAAGGTGTTTAACTCCACATAGATTATTATTTTTAGACAAAACTGTATCTATCTGAAAACGAGGCTATAAAAACAGTAGGTGGACCTCAACCAGAAAACAGTTTTAAGTGACTCTTTACATTTCAGACTGGATCAAGACCAGAGAATTAAAAAAAAAAAAAAAACTTAACATAAAAGACAAGTAGCATTTTACCCCTCCCACTATGGCAAATACACAGATAGGAGGCCTTTGTGATGTTTTGCAGGCTTTATAAAAAAAAAAAAGAAAAAGAAAGAAGCCAACAGACGTAAGAGCTACACACACACACATACACACACAAAAAGCATAACTCATTTCTTCCCATTTTCTTCGTCAGATTCAGTTTCATCTCATATTACCCCGCTCTATATAGAAGAGCTAAAAATGTAATCATTTGACATACACACAGTATGAAAGACCAAAGTTCAGATTTTAGAAAGAAGAAAGCAGCCAGGAGCTGGCGGGAGTTTGGAGTGAGGATCCAGGACGGCCAGAGTGTCGTAGAAAAGAAAAAGTACATCTCGGAAACCAAAGAGTGTTGCGTAGTGCCGTTATCTAGCTCACTAATAAGCATGTCGTTTCTGATGTGATGAACAAATGGACTAAAAATGGGCCTTTTCTGGTTTGGTATGGTTAGAGTACAAAAATGTCTAAAACATGAACAATGAAGTAACAGATAAGGTAGGAAATGCTGGGTGTGTGTTGCAATGTTGTTGGGCCAGCAGCACTGTGTCATGTTAAACAGAGGCCACCATCTTTTAGCACTTGGTCCACTGCAGTGGTCCGTGAGGGATGCTTTCAGCTCTCGACGGCAGGTTGTTCCGTCTCCGCAGAGATCGAGTCGTCCTCTTCTTCGTACGTGTGCGTTTGCTGTTCGGCCGAGCTGTCCGGGCTTCGCCTGAAGAGGATCGCAGAGTCGCAACAATACACGTAAAACAAAATTACGCCCGATAATGTTTATTTAGTAAATATCACGCATCCAACAATGCAGGCGCCTCTTTAGGAGTTTTCCTACACTTAACCTGACGGCACCATAAGACCTCTTACCGAAGGTGTCTTTAAATACTTTGTGTAGCGTGCTTTTCAAAAACCTTTCATACAATTTTATTTATTTTATATAGCAGGCACATAGTGAACGAGTGAGTAGGTTTCATGTGTGTCTAACCAAATGTATCGAGTTTTATCGAGACGTTGCCTGACACACGTTTATCTTTCTAGGCTCTGATTATTCTGACATATTCTTATTTATTTATAAACTGTTTGTCCTGTATGAGATATAGTTCTGATTGGATATTATTCCCATTGGTTGTGGTCCTGTGACCAATCACAGGCAATTTAAGATGGTACCCCCCTCCCTATGTTTGATTGTCTAACGAAGAGCAGGCATGCTTGAAAACATCATACATGACATCATCTGATTATAGCAAAAATGTGTCTCGTTTGCTAATGTGACCCAAATGTGACTTCTATCCCAAGCTCGCATCCTGTCACAGGTGGGTTTACGTGTGACGCTCACCTGTTTGGACTTGAAGCCGTATCAACGTTGTTCTCGTCTTGTACGGGTGACTTTGGCTTTTCCTCTCCCTCTGTGTCATTTTTTTTCTGCTCCGATTCCCCATTCACAGGTGTGGAATCTGCTCACGGCAAAATCAGATTTAAATAAGCGAGCAGACAAATCCAGAGAAAGTGCACTAGAAAACGTAGAAAACAAAGTAGAATCCAGATTTTAGTAAATCCAAAACGAGTGCTTTTACCTGTGTTTTCTGTCTCTTTCTCCTCATCATTCTCTGGCTCCTTGTTCTCAGTTTTAGGTTTAGCTGCCACCTCCGCCTTGCCCACAAAACGCAGTTTTAACTTGTTGTAGACGTCGCTAGCTTTTTCCATGACTGCAGTGCTGGCTTTATACCGCCGGATCTAAAATGAACACAAACACGTCAAATAAGTCCGGTAACATTTTTTATATGAATTTGTTCAAATAAAAAACACGTAGATTGCTAAACATACGCTTGCTGAACATTTTATTAGGTACATCTGTTCAACTAGGGCTGTGCGATATGACCAAAATCTCATATCCCGATATTAAGACATAAATCACAAGAATGTAACATTTTCTGTAAATTCTGTGAATCTCGACTTGGGGAAGTGTTTCCAGCTGGGCGTCGCGTACCTGGAGTCGAGTGTTTTAACCGATGCATGAAATGATACATTTTTTGGCAGAACGGCCGCCGGTTTCTTTGTGAGTATTTATTACACGGCGTGCTGCGGGGAAAAGCCTGTTCTGACGTTTGAGCCTAAGGTTTATTTTTTAGCACCTGACGGCTCTTTTTTGCTTCTCATCTGTAAACACTCTGCATCTTTCACGTGATTCAGTTTATTCTGAAAAGTCTCAACAGGATCTTGAACTTTATTGTGAAAGGTTAATGTGGAAACTAAACCAGCAGACACGCGATGGTTTTGCCATCCTTGTTGCTAACGACAATGCATAAAAACAGGCGCTTGTCCGTCTGTAGTGTGGTTATATTAAATATAAGACAAAGAGAGAACTTTAGGAAATTAATATGGCCACTACAGTGACCATCAAAACCATGAAAAAATATTGCCGTAAACAGTTTATTTTGCGACACCACGAAACAAACGATAGCGTAAAATGAAACGATAGACGTTTTTATATCGTTATCTGATATATATCGTTATATCGAACAGCCCTATGTTCAACTGCTCATTAAAGCAAATATCTAATCAGCCAATCGCATGGTAGCAACTCGGGGCATTGAGGCATGCAGACACGGTCAAGATGACCTGCTGAAGTTCAAACTGAGCATCAGAAGAAGGGAGACTTAAGTGACTTTAGTTTTTTTTTAATTGTTACTGTATGGAGGACATCTATTTAGGAAAATCAGTACAAGTATTCCAACAAAAATAGTGAACTTTTTGAAAGCAGTTGACTCTCAGTCTCGTAGATGTCCAAAGTCTCAATAAACATGACCATTAAACCTTGATGAGGCTTTAATGGTCTAACAAAAACTAACAAAGACTAAACATAAGGATATTTTCTCTGTTTTCCAAATTCTCAATAATTTCAGTTTTAATCTTTCCAAAAATCCAGTTTTTATTTTTAACTACAATGTTTTTCCCCCATATATAGTTTTAGTTAACTATAGTAACTTTGGGTACTGAATCAATTTGCCTAAGTGTTTCAGAAACTGCTGATCCTACACATCTATCTCTATGGTTTACAGAGAAAACACACAATATGGCTGCTGAACATGCTGTACCCATCTTCTGAGTTCACAGTCATCAAAAGTCACCACATTTCAATCCATTTGAGCACATCTGCTGAGGATTTGCATTACAGATGTGCAGCAACTGTGTGATGCCATCGTGTGCTGCACCTTCAAGTTCAAGTTCAAGTTCAAATTTTATTCGCCACATGCAGGTTGCCCTGCAGTGAAATGAACCCGCCCCCCGACCTGGTCATATCCATAGCAACAACTTCACCAATTTCCATTTGAGCTGTGACTTAACCAATTAACCTATTAACCAATACCAACCTGTTATACGTCAGCTGGTTTACCCGTGAAGGTGTGATTGGTTCATTTGAAAACATTTTTCCCCTTTTTTCTGTTTCCTGTCCTTTATTTAAACACAAATTGTTTTCTATGTTATTATGACCCTGATGAAAGCCACAAGCCGAAACACGCTGGTCAGTTAATAAAGTTGTTCCTCTTTACCTTTAAGTGTTGCTGGAGTTCCTGCCTTGTTGTATCTATGCCATGTAGAAGTAAGGCGGTTTAGAAAGCAGAAGAGTATCCAGCACTGTCATAGCAAGTTGTAACTAACAAAGTTGCCAATGAGTCTCCCAAAAAAAGACTCCTGCCTTTCCTTTTATTATTTCCCTGTCATGTACATACTTTTACAGAGATGGATACACATGAACAATTGATCAAACTTCAAACAATTGATGTCAGCGTGTGTGTAAGTAATCCCTACAAGCCAAAGCTTCACACTGCTTAAAGTTAGCCAACCAAATATTTAAAAACTGGCTTAAAGGCAGAGGAACCAAAATGCCCTGTTTTGGACAGACTGCATCAAAGCCCAGTGTCAAATAAATAAGTACTATTGTGAACGGTGACTTATGCAAAGTTACTCTACAAGTGTTTAAGGATAAAAACACAAGGGCAAAACAGTTACTGCTCAACCAACCTTGTGTTGCGTTTTGACTACTTGAGTAAATTTTAGCACAGGTTTTCCAGCTTAAACACCAAAAGGAGCTGTGGACCAAGAAGTAAAGCACAGTGGAGCAATACCAAACAAATTCACCTTTTTTAGTGTGGCAATAACTTCAGCGTTCTTATGTAGGATCTGGCTGGTGACAGGAACGGCCTCGAGCTCTTCCAGTGCTTGTAGACATCGCTCTATGTCCTGAAAACCACACAAACCGAATTTTCATGCCAGAATAAAAAGAAACCCAAAACATTTATGTGACCATATTAATCATCGTCTTAAGCGTTA